ACCGCCGAGGCTGAGTGTCGACGGACTCGACCGCTTCCCGAATGACTCACCCCCCGCCGCCCCCTTACCCGCCATGTGTAACGTTCGTCAGGGAATTCGTATAACGAAATATTTGCCATTTATATTTACTTTGGGCTGTAGCGGGGCTGTTCGACCATCGCGAAATACGCTACAACTTGTTTGCGTATAATATCATATTGCAAAACTGTCAATTCGTTCCGCAATGTAAAATTTTCTCTCCAATTATGGTTCAATCTTTTACTGTCGTAAGTTCAATGTGTTCATGTAATCAAATTTTAAAATTAACGAGAAATCCTGTGGTTCTCTCATTGCTTCATAAACTTATTTTTTATATTATGGTTTTCCAGCGTTATTCGTTCAATTTGTGCACACTGCAATCTTTTGACTACATTTTACAGTAATGTATATGAGGTCAGGTTGAGAAAAATTAAACCATCAATTTTCTAGCAATTGATTTCCTTTTCAGTGTATTGGTCGGGGCGAATCGGGAAAAGATGGTTAGAAACTACGTTAAGCAGATTGGCCATCGAGTCTATAAAAATAACTCCCACGATATCTTTCAGAGAGCACTCGAGCGAGAAAAACGGGACCAAATAACTTTGACAGATACTAATAAATTTATAAAGTTTCATATTGGCTGCTTATTTTTTAGGAGAATAAAATGTATTTTAATACATACACATAGACTAGCATTTATGTTTTCTTTCATGAATTTCTAGATTTGTGTTGTTTTACTTCTGCGCGGGAAAAAAAATGAGTAAATTCAACTCATTTTCTGAGTTAAACATGGTGCATACTTGTGCCTCTATCCGCCCTGGAGGCCGTGTATCCGAGTGAGATGGCCTATTTGATGCTCTAACCGTCTCTTAGAGTAGAGACAGACTTATGCGTCCGGGCTTCGAGTCCTGACCAGATAGCGTTTTGCCGCTGGCTTGGCCGGCACGGCTGGGCCGCCAACTATTGGCTCGGGTGGCATGGCGTTCTCGCTTGCTCCTACGGGTCGCATACGCCCCGGGCGTACACTACCGCTCTCATGACTCCGGCCTCGAGCCTCCCACCCCCTGCTGTGAGGGTTTCAATGTCGGTATCCCGATATGCGAATTACTGTCAATGTTTTCACGCCGGCGAAGAAGATTCTCTTTCAGCCCCGGCCTACGGCTTCGTTCCTTCTGGAACGTCGTTCTCCCTTGCTCTCTCGCGGGTCTTATGTCCCCCAGCGGCGTTCTCTCTTGCTCTCTCGCGGGTCTTATGTTTCCCGATGGCGTTCTCGCTCGGACTTGTTCACCCGCAGGCCTTATCGTCCCTTCCTTCCGCGGCTCACAAGGCGGATTGTCATTTTGCAGCAACCGCGATCAAGTAATTAACAGAGGGAATGGAGGATCAATTCCTCCACGAGAAATATCGTCTCGAATTAACCGTGCTATCTAGTCGTAATGTTAACCCTCCGTTGTCCATGCCTTTTTCGGACACGTAATTTTATGACTTGTATTTGTATTTAAAATGCAAGTAAATATTTTAATCTCATCTATTTTTGCCAATGTGGCTACTTCGAGTTACGCGTGATGTTTAACTTTTTCGAGAATTGATTCAGTTGATAGAATAAGTATCATTTTGATCGTCTCTTTTCTAATATTCTCATTTCTCTGGAAGTATTTAATTTCAAACGCAAATAAATTCAAAATTTGTTTAAAATTGGAAATCCATAATAGTTTGTTGTTCTTATTTCAAATACAAAAGAGAAAATGGTATTTTACGTTTTGGATACCTATTTCGAATAAATTCAATTCATAAAACTTACTACGATTTGCGTTTATAATAAACTCGGATAAGAAAAGTCTTTCTTATGCTCACGGGCGCTGATAATGATTTACAGGTGTCCATTTGTTTGATGAATACGAAGAATGGTGCAGAATGTAAATATGTAACAGACATGAAATCACGATTTCGTTTCCATGTCCGATAGTTGATGCATCGTAAATTTTCCTACGGTATTTCACTGTATATATATTTAGAAACTATTTCTTTTAAGCTAAGATAATATTCTAACTTCGGTTCAGTGGATGGAACAATGAATCGCTAAGAAACTTGTTAACATTTAATAAAACATGTTTCATCATATTTGTAACGAGTGAGCCCGTCACGCGCTCAAACTGCGCTCCACAAACCGGCTGCGCTACCAAACGCAGCGCCGGCCGCGTAGCCGAGCGCCGACGCGCCCGAACGCCGCCGAGCCGGCCCGAAGACGCCCGAAGACGGTCGAAGGCCTAGCGGGACGGAGCCCGCTAGGCAGACTTCCGCCCGACCAGCGAGAACGAGCACGTGTGCCTCAACCACCGACGTACAACTCCGACCGCCCAGACCGCTCCTCCTACGGCCGACCGGCCGCCGTCCGCCCGCCACCGCCCGGAGGCCACACCACCGCGGGCCCATCCTCCCCGGCCGCAAGGAAGCCGCACGAGAGCCACCCGACCGACCTGTCGCCACGAGGCGCCGGCCATTTCTCCATTGTGGCACGCCGACTCTCACATAGTTAAGCATTAGTACGTAAGTAGAGATTAGTAGTAGTAGTTAAGGTTAACATAGATTAAATAAAAATTTCGCTCCGCAGTCAACCTCTCGAGCGCTCTTTTTCTCTCCCCCTGGCCCCTCACCTCCTGTCCCGTTATATATTCTTTCAAAAATTGTGTAAATTATCATTTAACAAAAACTACGTTAGGTGAGTCAGGGACACTCCACTATAATACTTAAATAATTTTCATTAATTGTTTTTGTTTATAAATATATATTTTCTGTAGGAAATCCATTCTGCGCCTCGAGCGATTCAAATTCCCCGCTGCTCCCGTCGCTAGTACGCTGCGCGGCCAGACAGGTCAGTACGGACAGGAGGAAGCCATTGACGAAGGCCAGTGTACATACACTGGCACACAGATGAGTTGGGACAGAGATGAGTTAGGAGATTGCGCACGGGTAGGGTCGCACGAACGCGTCGTGTGCTGCTCTCTGGTTCTGTACGTTAACTTTCACCGTTTTTTGCCCCCAAGGGTGGCGCAACGAATTTCTGGTAGGGGCACGCGCACTCGCCATGGCGGCGCCATCTATCAGTCGCCGTTGGCGGCTGACGTACTCGTGATGGTAATACCATGCGGCAGTTGACAGTGGTGGCTTACCTACGCTTATCGACACTACTCGCATTTGATGGTAAGGGAAGAACACTAGTGGCGTACTACTCTTTGACTTTACCCTTCACTTACCTCATTTATTTCATCCGCAAATGATACATGCAAAATTACAACGTGGGTGCTCGATAGTTAAGTTATACTGTAGATGCAATTTTTATAAGCTACGGAAATTAATAAAAAAATTATGAATGTTTCCTAGGGAACACAAAACCTAGATGGAAGGAGATACCCAACAATATGGTTTGACGTAGTCGGTATGACGTCAGGTGTAACGAATGTGTCTCACGATCAAATCCTGACGGAGAAGAAGGGTGGGTACGGTTTTTCCGCAAATTTTTTTCGGCACGTTTTACAGTTGATAGCAATCGCACGAAACACATTACAGTTATGTACTTTTTTATTATGAATTTAGCTTTTCATTATCTGTTTCGCCGTCCATAAGGTAAACTTTGTTAAGTAATGTGAAATTAATTAAAATCGTACCGTAAGATAACAGTATCAATCTTTCTTATGGTTAGTATTATTATTATTTAGTTACCCATGTTGCTACGTTGTCTCATTCATTACAAAAATTTAAATTATAATAATCATTTTGAGAATGAATTAATGAGCTCGGATAATAAAAACCTTGAATCAAAATATTTGTCCCCTACATTGGTAATTTTATCGCCAAACATTTGTCCTGAAATATTCCGGCTCACGGTCAAACGATGGTAATTAGCAAAATTTCAATACATCGGCAAACACCGAATACGCGAGTCGTAAACGACGTAGATCGCACGAGTCGGCGAAAGATGAAAACAATGAGATTAAAGTACATTGTTGTTTAGAAGCGACGAGCGCGGAGCATCGGGCACGCCCTGGTGTCACGTACGGAACTCACATGCAGCGAATCTGTGTGAGCGCGATCGCTCCTAAAAATCTTCGCGCGTTCCGACCAGCCAAGCGCCAAGCTAGGCCAGTAGGTCTATTCTCTAACTCGTAATGACAGCTAACGTTATCGTTAGTCTACCGAAGCGACACCGTAACGACAAAACCTATTCTATAACTTTCTTGAAGCGACAAACGTCGTTAATGTAGCGACAAATGTCGTTATGGGTATCGGTAGTTTATCGAGCTCTGTAGGCCTATTCTCTAACTCGTAACGACAACTGTCGTTATCGTTAACGTTACCGATGGTCGTCGCTTGTTCTACCGACAGCTTAACGAATGGCGTATTCTGTAACTGCTCTTAGCGACACCCTATCGATACAAAACGAGCTAACGACATCGTTACGCTGGCGACAATGCCCTATTCGGCATAACTGTTTTCAACCAATGAAATTTCACGTGTTCTTAAGATGAGTTTGTGAACACTGAAAGATACAAAGGATATAAATTTAAAACAGAGGTTCACGGCAGCGAAGTTCGTAGTTCTTCAATAGCTCATTATTAAAAAGCAGTTTTAATACTACTTAATGCAATCGTTTCTTATATTAGTATTTGAAATAGTCTTTTCTTTTAGTAGTACTTAAATAATAAAATAGTTTCATTACAGTTTATAGATTTAACAGGTTAGCTATATTATCATTTTAGCAGTAGAATAGCGTCTACTAGAGAACAAAGAACAATAAAACATTTTTTTTTCTTTATCAGAATATTGGTATTAATTTCTGTAGCATTTTTTTAACATTAACTATTTAGTTTTTATTTATAGGCTTACTTTAATACTAGAATAGTTTTTGACAGTAGTATTCTTCTAGTTATTATTAATTGAATTCGGGTTAAACTTCTGCTACTTCAGATGAATTTCTGACCGTTTTTATGTGTTCTTTAAAAAAAAAAAAAGAAGAAATGGAAATGTAAGTAATTTTTATATGAATATATATAATATGTATTAACTTATAAATACTAATATGAATGCAACTGTACTGTTTATTTAAGATATGTAAACGTATGTAATTCATTTTGTAGGTCAGTGAAGAAAAGTCGGCAAGGGAGAGTCAATCTGCGACAAATGAATGCCATGATAGACTACATGGAAAAACATCCCCATGTAGCAAGAAATAAATTTACGACGCTACATGGCAAAGAGAATATTGAAGGGAGTTGGAACGCGATGGCCGATTATTTAAACTCGCTATCGAATGACACCAAAGTGAAGGACGTTAAGTCTTGGAAAACGGTGCGTGTAAATTCAATCCACAAATGTCTACTCACAGAGGAAAAAGAATGGCTATGCATGTTGGAACATAACTCAGTTTATTTTATTTACAGACATGGAGAGATTATAAAACAAAAGTATCCGAGAAAGTGCGCAAATTAAGAAGCAACAGAGCACAGACGGGAAACAAAACCATCGACATTATTCTTAACGATTTGGATAAGCGTGTTTTAGGAATCATAGGCCACCAATATGCTTCAGGCGTTGACCCATGCCCGGATGCCTTTCCGGAAGAACATCCAGTAAGTTACAAATTATTCAATACCAGCTACAAATAAACGTACTCTATTTCAATATTATTGTTAACTGAATACAATAATGTGAATTACAATGCTATATACTATTTGTAGAACGTTTTAGAAGAATTAACTGCGGGGGACACCACAGTTCTAGAGATAGCACCAGCCTGTATTCAATTTAATGATAAAGGTGAACAGTGGTTAGGTATGTTCATAACTTCAACATTAATTGTTATAAACTATTAAAGATTAATAATATTTCTTGTTTTTTTTTTTAATCTATCGCGTCATATGTTTCAAATGTAGAGTACTTAGAAGATGAAGTGCCGCCTGATTTTCTGGCAAATGAAGCCATACAGCAGGTAGAATCTCCACCAGCCATAGAAGCTACCGAAGAAGAAAAAAAGATAAGAAAAACAGCGGGAAAGGAAAAAATAAAAACGAAACCAAAAAGGAATAGTAAGTACTGCATCACAACAACATACGAATTCTTTTATTGTATTCAAGTATTTGTTACGTCTGAGTGGTAACAAATTTTGATCCGAACACAGATCAACTTACCTGACTTAATAATAATTGTTAAGGGAAAAGTAAAACAACAGCCGACACAATAATATTTGCAAATAGAGAATTAAAGAACAGATGACCCGATAATAATTGCAAATAGAAAATTTAAAAAATAACACGGTAATAATTGAAAATAGAGAAAAAAAAATTAAACAGATGACCCAGTAAGATAATTGGGGTAATATATGATTAGGTGAAATTTACCGAACGGATTCACATATATAATGGTAATTTAACCAACGCACTGATTTAATAGACTTCACTTTACTCGAGAACTGATTTTTTTTCTTTCAATTAACGGGTTTATTTATCAGAAAAAGGAAATTAAGATCCATGATAACACAGCATTTTTTCTTGTTTCAGGGATTCACGATCAAAGATTAGGAGAGCAACTTGCAAGTGCAAGACAGTCATTTACTAATATAAGCGAAAAACATGCAAATGCAATGGAAGTAAGTTTTTCTTTTTTAATTATGTTAATACCATACGTTTGTTCTACTAATAAGATAAACATAAAATGTAATTGTTAAAAATTCATTTACAGATGTTAGCCCATGCTATGAACGTTCAGGCGGAAGCAACTAAAGTGCAAGCGGAAGCGACTAAAGTGCAAGCAGAAGCAAATCTACGCATTGCTGAAGCCATCGAAAAAATGGCAGAAAATTCGGCACAGCAAACACGTTTGATGGAATTGTTATTGAGAAATAAAAATGATAAATAATGCAATAATTACAATGTTTACATTTATTATATTCATTTATATATACAATTGGAAAATGTTACTAAATGCATATTAGTTTCCTAAAAGTTACCCAGTGCATGTTTTTGCTATTTAACGTTTGTGTTAATATGTACTACTATATATTACAAATGTTGCAGAACAACTAACAAATACATCGGGTACGATTTAGAAGACTACCCTGTAAGAAGACTGAAATAGAATGGAATGAATAATTGTTACTTCAACTTTCCATCAGATTATTTACAATTCTCGATACATAAAACAGGGAAAACAGATC